TCTTACTTCACTGAGCAATGATACAGAAACTTTACTTTTTAATTTTCTCTGGTTTTCTAGTTGTGTTACGGGTTTTTCCCTTTTTCTTTTCTTTTTTTTCTTTTCTTAAATATATAATGTGATGTTTTCTTACTTCACTGAGCAATGATACAGAAACTTTACTTTTTAATTTTCTCTGGTTCTCTGGTTTGTGTTACGGGTTTTTCCCTTTTTCTTTTCTTTTCTTTCTTTTCTTAAATATATAATGTGACGTTTTCTTACTTCACTGAGCAATGATACAGGAACTTTACTTTTTAATTTTCTCTGGTTTTCTAGTTGTGTTACGGGTTTTTCCCTTTTTTCTTTCTTTCTTTTTCTTTCTCTCGCGGTAAATGATAAACRCTAGGCAAATTTACCTTTTTAATCGTTTTTATGAAGCAAATTGGAAAATTAGAACAGCCAACAATATGTTATCCAAAACTGAAAAAAAACATTAACCAATTTGTTCTCTTTCTCAAAGGTGCATTAAATTACATCTATAATAAGCAAACAAACCTGGTGGACCTTAATGAATGTAACTTATCGACATCGGCAGTGCATGTCAGTACTATCCTCTTTGATCGGTGAGTCTGTTTTCTATTCGAACAAACAAAATGCACCTGTATTCAAGGCTAGCTCAATTACAAAAAAGCCAAAACAGTTAGAGATCTTCCCGTCATACTTTGATTCAGTCACTCGATACAGTAATACTTCTATACTACATAAAAAGGCTTCTCCGAGTCTGCCAAAGAACCAGCTCTCRATGATTTCAAGGCAATAGAAGATCGTCAGTCCTATACATCGGTACGTGCGACTGATACTCGTGACTTGATAACCGACAAAAAACGGTAACGTGGGGAGTTAAGTTAGAGCGCTAAGTCTATAATTTATGACTTCGAAACACGGGATTAACAAATAGGTTACGCTATTGCTGTTTGTTTTTACGTAAAACCATGATTATGGTTATGATTTTAGACAATTCGAAACCGCAATTTATAGGAATTCTCTGCCTCAAAAACATTCCTATTTTTGTGATTTTCATCAACAAGACCTCCGAAATTTTCAAGTGCTCTAATGTATACGACAAGTAGGCTCTTGGCCAAGTCAAGACTTTGATCGGTTTGCATGGCGGGCGCTAGTGCTAATCATCGTCGTTAAAATAAGGAATAGTATTAAGATACTTGACAAAGGTTTTTTGGACTTATTTCTTGCAAATATAAACGATTTTGAGGAAGATTTCTTAATCATTTTTATGAATATTTATCTCTCACTGTCTAAGACCGACTAAAAACAAAAATATTTCACACCTGCAGTGAAGCGTTTGCCGCTTGAGGATTTCGAAATTCATAAGCTTTAGACCTTAAAGTACTTTAGAAGAGAATCCATATCGGGAACTCCCACCAACCGTTTCAGAAAGGTTCTGAAATATCTTAGATTTCACATATACTTGAGGATTTTTTTTCAATTTAAAGGTAACCGCAAGAGGTACTCAGCGAGATACCGGCTCAAAACCGATTACAATAAAAGGCTTTAATTTTGACCAGAGGATCACTAAAAGGACAAGATTTTTTAAAATGGTTTCCGTGCCATCTTCGTCTGGGAGCCGCCTTGACGACTTTCTTGGGCACTAAACAAATTATCACCTGCAGGATAAAGCTTTTGGCACATAGTTGGACATTCATCGAGAAGAAAACGCTGCAGTTTCGTTGACAACTATATACAATGTTTTCTTTTATCTAAAGCAGGGATATTTTCCATTAAGGGTAGGAGATTAGTCTACCGTACATTGATGCTACATCTTTGTTTGTGCTATTTGTGGCTTAAAAATCTCTTGAAAACAGGCTCTTGCTCATGAAATAGGGAAACATTAATATTTTCGACCGTAATTGGCATAGTTTCCGGCTGACCTGAAAGCCTCTGTCACTGCCATGGAGAATTTAGTGCACACAGCAGCAAACCAACCAGAAAAGAAGACTTGAAAATACTAGATTAGTCGATAAAATGAATTTTAAACGGAAGGAAAAGGAAGTCGTAGAGTTAAAAGAGCTTGTGACGCGTTTTAACTTGTTTGGTAGAAACCACTAGATTATAAGCTACATTTATAGCAATTGGACATATCTACAAAAGAGAAATCTCATAGAATAAGTAATAATCCCTGTCTTAAAAGGTTTTAAAATAATGATAGTCAAACTCCCGGTAAATGGGCTATAAAAACGAATGATGTTTTTACTCTTGATGTTTTTGATACAGGAACTTCTGTGGCGATTCCTGGTAAACAAAGACAAGTTAACGCCTCTGGATTAGAAAAAGAGCTATATTTCTTGACCTAAAGCGAGGACTAGCCTAAAATGAATAACACTTCTAATTCCAGTAATCCCAGTGACCACCACATGGAGGTCTCAAGTATTATCCACTTCAATATCATCTTCATCTGTTTGTCTGTTGTCGGTATCCTTATAGTTGCGGCAAACGGTTTAGTCTTTGTACTCGTGTATAAAAGGCGAACGTTGTTACGAAAGACGAACTTTTTTCTGATCAGTTTGGCAGTGTCGGACATTTCTTCTGGATTAATAGGGATTCCCCTTATTATCTTGTGCAACACTTATCCATACGAATCGCTGATAAAAACCATGGACATATGTAATAAATTCCTTGGGATTTCTACCATCCTACACTTGCTCTCGGCAACAATAGAGCGCTATATTAAAGTCTTGGCTCCGCTGCATTACCGTAGGCTGGTGACAAAGAAGCGCATTGTGATGGTTTTAGCGGGAATTTGGATGATCTCTCTGTTGACTCCCGTCATCGAGTTGTCTTGGTACGAAGACATTGAAGCCACACAGAAATATTCCCTAGCGTTACTATGCTGCTTCGTCATCTTTCCACTGACCCTCATGACTTCAATCACTTTTCACATATTCTACCTGATACGTGAACAAAAGAGCCGCTTGAAAATCCTCGCCAACCGGACAATGGCCAAGAAACAGCAGAGACGAAAACAAGCAGAGAGGCGTGCGGTGATGGTTTACTCGGCTATGTCCATAAGTTTTGCTATTGGCTGGTTTCCATATTTCCTTTCAGCACTTTTTTCGGATTATGTTTTGAAGGAGGACGATGAATACCCCATACCAGTCTGGGCAGATTATGTGTTTCTGTTTCTCAAGTTTTCCACTGGTCTGATTGATCCTCTTCTTTACACCTTTTTCAAAACTGATTTCCAGACAGCGATGCGGTCTTTGCTTTTCAACTCGTATGAGAATATCAATACAAGAGTGACGATTCATATGAGCTCGCTACAGGCGCCAAACACTCAGCGTAGTAGCTCGGATTAGCAAAATTGAGGCAAAAAGAAAGTACCTTTCGGTGAAAAAAGAACTAAAATTGTCGACATTATGCACCTGTGACTGAAGAGGTCATTGAGACAAAAAAAACRCGAATGGAGCAAGATAAAATAGTTTCGTAACCGAGTTGAAACGGTGTGGAAAGAACCAACAAAGTGCACAGCTTACTGAATGCGGAAAACCCCGGCAAAGCAACCAGAAAAACAGCTAAAAGTATAAGGTTTGCAATCTAATTTCGATCGCAAACATAAACTTCAAGCCCAAATCTTACAATTGGGACCAGAAAAAAAAGCAAAAACTCTAAAAGTAGTACTAATTAAAGGTATGGTTTTAAGTTTAATTTAAATCAAGAATAAGGATATCACAATCTCAAACTCTTTAGACATAAATAAGTTATTGCGCGCCATCATTTTGTAGCTACTTAAGTCACGGATGGGTTAACCAGTTACTAGGGAAAAAAGACGTTCCATATCTCGCGCGCTGATTTTATTCCAGGCCGGATGGTGGCAGCGACAGACGGTAAAAAGCGATTAACTTTAAGCCAAAATATATAAAGTTTTTAATTGATAAGGATAGTTTAAGTCGTTAATTTTTGAGGATTATAAAAAATATATATATATAAAAACAGGCAAAGTACTAGTTAGAGTTCATGTTTTTCTTTCTTTCTTAATTTCTTAATTTTTTCAAACTACCAACCAAAAATCAACCAATTAACCAAATATAAATAAATAAATAAAAATCATATAGATCAATAAGTGATCGATAATATATACATATTAATTTTAAGCAATAAACAAAGAAAGATATATAACCTGTACAAATTACAAATAAGTTAATACTATATGACCAAAAGCTATTAGAAATTATAGGTATACATAAAAATAAAAAATACACGAAAAAATAAACAAAAAACAGATGTACAAGGATAAGGACTGTTAAAAGACAAAAACCATTAAAATGTTTAAGTATATACTTCAAGAAATATCAAATGTACAAACAATAAATATTTAATGTATTCATGTAAAAAATAAAATGTATAAAGACAATGACTTATTATGCTGTAGCTATAGACTTATGCAACAGTCAAAGTAAACCCCACCCTGTGCTGTGCTGAAAGATCTGTGGGGATTTGGTGGGGATTTGTTACCTTATAAGAAGCTTTTTGGGTCCCGACTATTTGGGGGATTCACAAACTTATAAGTCATCCCTGCTGGAACGAATGTGGGGCATTAGGTCGGGATTGGTTTTGTAAATTCCAAGATGGCGACCATTGTTCCGGTAGAGACCTTTGGGTCACAACATTTTACTTTCTTAAGGATAGCTTTTCTGGAAACGGAATGCTGTATTACCGACTCTGAGATTGAAGATATAAATACTCACAAAAAATCGGGATTTGTTGGCGACAGTATTTTACTAAAACGTATTATTATACGACTCGAGCTATTTATAGTATAGAATATGTGGACCGCGTAGCACTTATGAAACACAAGGTATAGAAATATAGATAAGTTATAATGCTTGGAAACGAGGTTATTCCGGGCGAAAGACCTTGGAATTAAATTCGGAAAATCTAATTTCCGTCCTAGCTGGGAATCGAGCCCACGACCTTCGGAACTGTACTACTATAGTATACATCATTCGCTCAGGGTTAGCCTCGGTTGGAGTAGAATATTCATGTGTTCCAGTGAAGTCCTTGGATCGAATTTCAAAGTATTTGTATTGTTAAAGTTGTGTATTCTTTACTTTACCGTTGGTATTTGTGAATATTTAGACACTGATACGAGGCTAACCCCGAGTAGATGAGTCTGCAATCAAGGAACACAGCGGTAATTTGAAACTCGAAAAAGGTCTATTCAGATCACATGACAATGGTAAGAAAAGTGGAACAGTTGTTTCGGATGTAACACAACACAAGCATAAGACATACAAGCACTGACAAACGCACGCACAAGCATAAACTTTTTTCATCTTTGTGGCTGTGCGTGTGTTTCTCAATGCTTGTATGAAGTCTTATGCTTGTGTTGCTAGTGAAAACCAGGCTTAAGAAATTACACAGATTTGCACCAATTACTGAGTACGTTCAGTAGACCTCAGTAGACCGTAGACGTACAAAACGTTGCACTAATAGACCTCTTCGGCTTGGGGTAATATTTTCCCATTTCAGACCACGTGTCATTCCCTTGATAATAATATTCTTTGTTTTAGTTGTATCCATATTCATGTGTCTTCTCATGTGCAACCGAGCGCAAACCTTAAACAAAGAAATAATACTCTAGAGAATGACACGTGGTCTGAAATGGGAAAACATTACGTCAGAGCCAAGAGGCCTATTTGTACAATTTTGCTAGCTAACGTTTACACGGATATATGGTATGCACTGACCAGGGCTTTCAATAATATTTGAAGTAGATGGATGAAACTCAAAAGTACACGTCTGTTTCCACAAATTTTACTTCTTATTTATTAAGACTGATTCGCAAAATAGCCGGCGGTATGAAGGTAAGCACCCGGCGATAAACCGCCGGTAGCCGCCTTCTATTGAAACCCCTGGCACTCTAAGTAATCTGTTGTACTGACTTTGCATGATTTGAATAAAATCATCTGAATTCAATTATTCTATTAGTTTTTACGAGTACAATGAGGTATGTCCCCCCAGTTAATGACGCCGATCGCTCAGTAATTGGCTGACAATTTTCTCTTAATCTGAAAGCGGGGTTTTCTTTCACATGTGCATGCATCCTCGTTTAAAATCGTGCACTCAAGGACAGACAATATAAATAAGAGAACTGTTTGCAAAATAAGATTGATTTGCCGTCCAAACAAAAAAATTTATAAATCATTCTTTCCTTTTTATGGAATTTCACACATCTGTACTCCTTTAAAATAACTGGAAATGAATTCCATGCCAAAAAAAAAAAAAAAAATTGAAAACAGTTTTTTTCTCGCCTTCAAATTGCATGGGTTTGATCTGGGGCTTTGTTTTCATTTGTTTTTCGTGTCTCATTAGTATTATCAATCCTCATTTGTTCTAAAACCCCGCATTTTCCTGGAAAATAAACTGCGTCAGTGTATTGTTTTAATGAATTTTCAATCGATCAAAATAATCCATATAGTCTAACTCAGTTTTGTTTTTTCGTATAGTCTAATTCATTTTGTTTTTCACATCCACCATGAGTGCGTCATTAAAATGGATCCCCCGAAAAGCAATTTCCTGCCCTGTATTTTATCACGTTTACTCAGGTTTTGTTTGATGAAGACGCATTAGTAAGATCAACACTCTAGGGTGCCCTTTCAAGATCGTTCTTCATAAACTTGTCTTTGATTGTTCATGTTAATAGTGCTAATAGTTTTGGTATTCATGGTCGTTATGTTGTCGATAGTGGTGGTAAAAATGGTGGCAGAGGTCTGCTACACGCGGCGAAGATATTACATAACATCGGATAGGCTTATTTTAAGAAAGGAAGAGAAATAGATAGAAGGAAAGAAGGAGAGACAGGAAAAGCGTTTAAGAACAGATTAACGTGGAGTTCAAAATCTAAGAGTATTTGTCTAATTATTCCTGCTATCTTTGCCGACGTTGAGCCCACAAAAAGATTTTCTAGACTGGATAGGTTTAAGCTTTGTTCTGGTACTATTCTGGAATTCTCAGACAAAACAGACTGTCAAACAGAAGAGATATTTATTAATTCGGTCACTATTCGTAAGACACATTTAGCTAGACGTATTGACAACGATAAGAGCAAAGGCTAGTACTGCACATTCATATCACTAAGCCATTTACCATCCAAAGACTGAAAAGGAATTGCGTTAATGATGTCACGATTAACGTCATATCCAGTCCTATATTTCCGATGCATCATGAATTTTTTGTTCAATTAGTCCGCTATTTAGGAAAATACCTCGCCTGATGAATAACTTTACTTAGAAAAGACTGAGTAAAATGCCATTAGAATATTCTAGTAAACTCGCGCCTCACCTCTGGGGTATCAAGCTCCGGATCAGTGGACATCATTATTGAGCAGTATTTGCTATTTCTCTCTCTCTTGATGGGAGGGGTTTCATCCAAGGTCTCAACCCTACTCAAAAACTAAAGCGCTTACTGTCGTTCTTCTCTAACCGTGAACACTCGAGTTTATTTTTTTATTTTTTTATTGGCGTAAATATCCTTGCATTTTTTCTTTCTCTTGCATCATTTCATCTCCTTGAATATCTTTTATGTACTTTCAATACATGTAACTTGAATTCTATTGTTTTCGATTCGCAATCTGATTGGTTGACAAACTTGAGTGTTCACATTTAGAGTAGAACGACAGTATTTGCATTTGATCTGTGAGTTAGCCAGCCCTGACTCGCATCTGATCAGCCCAGAGGTTGTTTGAGAGCTTTTGCTTATTCGGAATTCACATCGCTCAATCACCCACAGTGCAGTTCGGGCTTAGCCCACAGTGCAGTTCGGGCTTGGTCCATAGTGTAGTTCGGGCTTGGTAAGATAAAACACGCAACGAAATTACCTTCGCCAACATTTTTTGAAAGGCTGTAAACATTTCTTTGTTCACGATTCATTCACTCAAAAACAATTTTCAAACTCTGAGTATTCTAGATAATTGCAAAAAGGTAATTAAAAAAAAACACACACACAACCAAATTAGTAATGGATCACTTTAACTTACCTTAATTTCGATGCTCATTGCAACCATCGAAAAAATACCCGAAAAGTTCACTTATAGGGATTATCGTCTCATAAGCACTGGTCGCGCTCGGCTCGACCTATCACAGCGCGCGAAACTCTATATTCAAGTCTAAAATTATATGCTTAAAGTTTTTTTATATAGTGATTTCTATTCACAATCACAGCCATCAAAAATTCAAACGTCCGGCTGTAATTGCACTCGGTCTAAAAAAAAAGATATCAAAAATCTGAGATGTCGTTTTTTAGATCGCTTGGTTTTAGTTTGATCTGACGTCATCCGAATTAGCTCAARCGTTTTATAAAGAGCGAATTTTTTCACTCATGTCATTTTGAATTTACCCAATAACTATTAGCATGCTAATGTGTTAATGATCGACAGCAAAAATTCTGATCCTGAGGGAAGCTGTCAAATGAAGTGCGGTAGAATGTCACTTTTGACCCAATAATTTTTTTTGGGTTGCAAAACAGACAATTGTCCTCAATGAATTTTCGGGAAAAATGCATACTTTTATAGAATATTATAAAAAATCCCTGTTATAAATCTCGCGTTTTGATTGGTTGTGAGCGCGTGCCTTATGTGAGCACACAGCACGCACGCGGACCCTCAGTTGCATAATTCCTATTCAAAATAACGGTTATTGTAATGTATTTTATAAATGAAATAAAAGACTTGCTTACTGAGCTGTGTGTAGTTATAAAGCACTTTGGGATTGACAGAACACGCAAGAAGTGTCAAAAAGCACTACGCTACGCGTCGTGCTTCTCCTAACACTTCTCTCGTGTTCTGCCAACGCCCACTTGCTTTATAACTTCACATAGCACGCGCGCTTTTTCTCTGTTTTCAATATTGAAAAGGCAGCACGGAATTCGTGGCTCGCGCTTTATAAGTGGTCTCGAAGGTATTAAGATCTTAAGACTGGTCAGCGAATTGAAGAATTCCAGGAAGAGAGCAGACATTCTAATAATATATACTGACCAAAAATGAATTCTCAAAATTGAGGAACTAGATTTTCAGCGTTCAATGCCAGGAACATTTTGGCCCAAAGGGCCTAAAGCAGCATCCGAGATTTTCAGAAATAATCTGGTTCTCTCTCTTGATATATCCAAATTGCCATTTCACCAAAAAAGCCCTGATCAAAGAACATCCGGTGCCATTATGTTAATGATCAGAACAGGATCTTGATTTTCGTGGCGAGGAAAAGAAAACAAATCGGCTTTTTTTGTCCCTAATGAACTCTATTCAAGCGTGGGTCTGGTGCAGTATTAATTAATTCATCTGGAATCTAGAGGCAGTCCTAAAAATCATACATCTTGAAGCGCCTGGCTTGAGCTCATCAATCATCCGATCCATCTCAATAATTACAAGAATCTGTTTCGATTTAGAGCAACAATTTAACCTGCACATCGACATAGGTACGTACTCCCTTTTTTATTATTTTATAGGCGTAGGACGAATTTATCGTCGAAATTCGGTTTTCAAACTYAATTTCTTAATGGGTGGTTCCTAGTAGGTCATCTATTGGGTTTAGGTTAGAGTTTGAGCATCTTTTTGCGTCGTTTGACAAGCAAAAAACACCATTCAGAATTAGTGAAAAAGAATCGAAAATATATCCAAGAGGTAAAGTAAAATGCAAGGAAATTCATAAAAACGTACGTGGTCATAGTTTCCGTTTGTGGGAAGAAAATACTTGATACTTCCATCTGTCTAATTCACAGTGCTTCTTTTAGACATCGCTTTTAATTAGAATGGATCGGTTCGGCTGGATTTGCGAAAAAAGAACGTAGCTCTAAAGTTAACTTGTCGAGGTTAGCCTTAAATCTTTTTAATTCGTTTAATTTTTGATCCTTTTCTCTAAATTACAAAAAAAAAAAAAAAAATTGGCTCAAAAATAAACTTTAAAATTACGACGTTCATCAACTGTAGTGGTAAATGTTAAGAATTGTTTAGTGAATGTATTTTCCCCCCAACATTTTTAAATGTTTTGATTGGTATTCTGTAATTTTGTTTAAACGCGTTGATTAGAAACTCAATAACGGTGAAAATGTAGAATAATGAATGGCTAGAAGTAGAAGAGGAAAAAATAGAGTATTTCAAAAATTACAGGCTTTACTCGCTCAAAAAAAGATTGAAAAATTTTTTTTTGAAACAAGGGCAAAAAAGTATTTTAAAAAATAATAGAAAAAATATCTACGACAAGCTACACATAACGAAGTAAATAAAAAAAAAAAGGAATTAGAAATAGTTATAAGAGGGGAAAAAAATAAAAAAAACAGTCTGACAGGTGGTAATAATACTAATGCGTGGGACGCGCCAAATGCATGGTCTTGAACTATTACAAAAGCCGATTTTAAAACGTTCAGATCCATTGAACGGCCCTTTTCTTTGAGTATTTGATTGAGCATGAATAAAAGATAAAAACTGAAGGCTGTCTTGAAAATTAAAAAAGCAAGCAAATAAACAAGCAAGCAAGCATAACAAGATAGCAAATAAGGAAACAATTTTTTTTTTTCACTTCAGGTAATTTTTAGTTTCCTTGAGTTCAGTATTTATGAGCTTTTTTGGCCCAGATTTACCCAAATTTAAATGTTCTCGAAAACCATTACCTAAACAAAAAACAAAAAAACAAAAACAAAATAATGAACAAAAAAATTACCGCAGCAACTGGATAATTAATATATACCAAATTTAAGTGCACTTGAAAACCATTACTACGGAAGTTACAAGTTTGTGCAAATTTTTCCAAAGTCTTTCACGGATATATCATATGCACTCTTATTAAAAAAATTTGTTCTAAAATCGTACAAATTTAACTCGGAAAATTAAACAGAATACTTGCTGGAGGAATGATCTTGATTGACATTTATAGTGGATCTTATCAAAATTTCTCACTAAGATCGTTGTTTATTTTAGAAGGATATGAGCAAGCCTTAATTACGTCTCTTCTTCTGTTGGCTTCTTTTAACAGGAATCAAAGCATCATTAAACAAGACAGGAAATCGTTCCCTAAGAACAACAGCGCTTGGCAGCGTCGCAAAGACTTCGACTCGAAATCTGCGTCAGTGTCTGTTGTTATCAACAAAAAGACATCCATTCAAAGTTTTTAAAAAAATGGAATCGAATCTGTCAGAAATTTTCTTCCCAAATTTCACCAATTTTGTCTCTCGGAATGAAACTTTTTCAGTCGTGGTACTGAACGACACTTTTGAGTTACATGACCTTATCTCCATGGATGTACCGATGGAGGATAAGATCATTTACGCCTTCTTAGTGCTGCTGGGATTGCTTATCATTGCTGCCAACCTCCAGGTCTTAGTTCTTGCAGTCAAGTTTAGATTCCTTCGCAAGAAGACGAATTACATCATCATTAGTCTTGCCGTCTCGGATCTCTTGTCCGGAGCGTTGGCAATCCCTCTTCTTGTGGCATGTTCATCTGTAGCGGAATACTCACTGACTTTGTGGGTAGGCATGGATATTTGCCAGAGGTTTCTTGCCATCTCGACAATCCTTCATTTAGTCGTGGCAGTTCTTAACCGTTATTTTAGGATTGTCAGGCCGTTCCTGTACCGACGTGTCGTTACAGTATTTCGTCTTGGTATGATAATAATGTGTTTGTGGGCTATCTCCCTTACCACGGCGTTTATTCAAATTGCATGGCTTCATGAGAAACAAGAGTCTCGCATTTCTTTCATCTACGATTCCGCAGTTCTTGTCGTCTTGGTACTTGTGCCATTCCTTGCCATCATTGCTGCTTGTGCTCGTACATTTGGTGTCATCAAACAAAGCAGGAAGCATCATGGAAAAGAAGAGCTCAGAAGCTGCAAGCTCAAGAAAAGTCAACGCAAAGCATTAACGTTATACTGCATCATGACAACATGCTTCGCAATTGGATGGTTCCCCTACTTCGTGTTGTCCATAACAGAGGACTTAGAAATTGAGATCGAGCTGCCCTATTGGTTAAGCATACTCTTTCTATTCCTTAAGTATGGGACATCTCTAGCAGACCCCTTGTTATACACTTTCCTCAAAAGTGACTTCCAAGCATCGATCAGGTACATCCGTCGCGGCAAGACCAGGGATACTCGCTCGCAAGTCAGTCAGTTTGTCTCGCAGTCTAGCGGAACAAGTGAAAGGAATAATACACTCAAGTTACCCAGTCCGATGCGATTGAGGAGTACTATATTACATGATTCTCAATTCGCTACTAAAATCTACTCCTCAAGCCATAAAAGTTTTGTCTGACTAACGCATCGAAAGCTTGCCGTCCACACGAGCTTTCTGGTCGTTTCTGTCCACACAAGCTTTTTGTTTTCGGCTGTATACACTAAAACGACCAAAAAAAGGTCCCCATTTTCGCTGTCCCACACATATACCTACATTTTTAGAGTGATGTCCACGTTTTGAAATGTCTCCACTCTGGAGAGCGTTTTCGATCATTTTAGTCGCCTTTAGATTACGTCTAAATATAGGTTTGAATTATGTTATTTTTAAAAGCGTTGATAGTTGAGCAAATTAGGAAAAGAAATTCATCCCAGGGACACACGAAAAGTTGCTTTGAAATTGTAGGTAAATTTGAAGATTTGAACATGATTTTTTGAAGTTTAATCCAGATAATTTAATTTATGTTCCACGCAGCTGTAAAATTACTTCTTCGGTCGAAGAAAAATAAAGTCCGTTCATGTTAGCTTGATTTATATAGACAAGCTACTGTTAATCCTGGTTATTTTTAGTCCATAATAGAAAGAAATAAAATCTCATTACTCCACCAGTTTGATTCATATCACATCAATTTTGATTGAAGATTTTTTCCAAATTGAAAATTGTAAAGTGAGTGGCAAGCACTGCAAATGTAAGGCAGTAATGCATACCAAAAAAGCAGTGACATATTTTAGAAAAAAAGAAATCTTAGTTGGGTATCAAGCTATCAATATCTTCGCCAGCCATGAGTTTTTTTTCCACATCGACCAACAGCTTCACGCCATCCACAACCTTCTGCACCAGTTGCACTTCCGAAAACCCAAGTCTATCGAGGTTGGATATATCGAAAGTACCATCAGTAGAAGCCGTGTCCACTCCTCCAGTTCCTCGCTTCTGCAGTCTCAGTTTCTCCAGGATTTCATCGAAGCGAGGATGTTGGGATAATTGGGGAAGTTTAACGTGGACGCCGCCTCGCAAGCCTGTGCCGAGGTTTGACGGGCAGGTAAGGACGTAGCCAAGATGTTCGTTCCACATAAATTCTTTTCCGCTCTCTTTCATCAAGGATTCTATTTGACTGAGACCTTGACAAAACCTCTCAAACACTCCTCGCATATTTCCACCTTTCTCCATTGAAATCACTCGTAAGTGGTCCTCTTCGTTGACCCAGACCAAGAAGTTTTTCGCGTCGTTGTGCCAGATCCCGCGGGCGTCGGGCCAGTCACGTGCCATGCGAGATGACGTCAGGAGTGGTGATACTGGTTTGTCGAACAAGAAATGATCTTTAATGAGTTGATTTTGTTCTTCGTCAGTCATCTTTGACAGCGGATAATACCTCCCTAAATAAAAACAGTTATACCCATAAGAAATCAGGAAGTTTTAAATACCTTATTGGGCTCTAACATTAACATTACGGAAGGTAAGAGAGAATGGAGGAATCAATTTGGGAGCCATTATTCGGGAAAAGGGGCAACGTACTAAAAATGGAAGAAAATGATCAAATTCAAACATCAGAACTAGGATTCTCCAGCTTCTGCTATGACAGCAATTCGTTATCGCCATTAATTACAATACCGTAGTACTTTATCTTATTACTAACCCACAGCGTGGTCACGAAAAGGGTGTCTGTAGAGCAAGAATTGTTATCACATGCAATCTTGCTGCGGCTACGTTTTAAATACACCTATTTCAAAAAAGGATGTCGGAATCAACGGAAAAAGGCGATAGGCTATTCCACGACCCAAGAGTAGCTGGAATTTGAGTGGTGTTTTCCTTTTTTATTCTCGTCAAGAACGAGGGGTTGTTGTTGAAATATTTATATATATTTTTAGCATTCGAAGCAATAGCCCTTTTCCCCAAGTGTGCGCGCGCATATTGATAGCAGCACCAAAGCGAGGCAAGCGTAGCTTGACGGGCCAGAAATCCAAGATGGCCGACGAGTCTATAGAAGAAGTTTTGAGTAAACAGCAAACTTTTATCAATCACAGACCATGAGTAATTTAAAAAAAAGTTAAAGCTCAAGGTGCTCAGAAATTTGTTGATGATGTACGTACGTGTTCAACAACGAACAGATCAAGGTTAGCTATCAAGTATTCTTGCCATTGAACAAAGTCAAAGCGAAATGAACGAAAAATTGCAGTCAATCCTACGATATTTGTTTAGATGTAAGCCTATAATTTCTTTTTTCTTTAAATATCCTATAGTTATTGCTAAATACCTTTAAGAGAACCTTCCAGCTTATCCAATGACGTAACAGCAATCTTTTCAACTTCTCGACGCTCAGCACGCGTGCAGTGAGGCGGCAAAGATAATCCCCGGATGGAGCGCCCAGTCCTCACGCGGCAAGACAAAACAAACTCGGAATCAAGATCTCCACCAACCAGATGTTCATGATTAAGGTCTGTCACATGTTTGGCGTCTTTCTTGTAACCGTTGTGCCGTGCTTCGATGACTGGATCAAGTAGAGCGCCAAATACCTCGTACGTTTCTTCATCACCGGCAACACACCCCACAGTGTAAATAAAAGGGTGTCCAGGATTGTCCACTCCAGTCTGAATGACACCGTCCAGCGTAAAACCACTGGGAGTCTTGAAATTACATAACTTATCGTAGATGTCTCTCGTTAGACACTTGGCCATCCAGTTGTTGTGGGAGCTTAGATCGGGGAAGTTGTCAACAGCCAGTGGAGCTCGATTTTCCACTTTCGGTTTGGATTTTGGATGCTTTTTTTCTTCTGCAGCTCTTGCCTTGTGGACAGTGCTGATGATTCCTCTGACTTTCTTTCCTTTCTTCACAGATTCACAGTATCCTTCGATGTCCATTCCCAATTCTAGTGCTTTTTCCAGCTCGATCATCAACTTAACTCCATCTACCACTGTCTGAACTTGTTCAACTTCCGACGACCCAAGGCGATCTGAGTTCGAGATGTCAAAGACCCCGCCAACCGAGGCAGTATCTACTCCACCGGTTCCTCGTTTTTGCAGGCGCAAAGCTTTTAGAAGTTGTTCAAATTCGTGGTTTTCACTGAGTAAAGGAATCTTGAGATGAACGCCGCCGCGCAGACCYGTTCCAAGGTTCGAGGGGCATGTTAGAATGAATCCCAGATGCCTGTTCCACATGAATTCGTGTCCTTTTTTCTTAATCGCTGCTTCGACTTTGTAGAGCCCGTCACAGAATCGTGTGAACACTTCCTTCATATTACCTCCCTTCTGCATCGAGATCACACGGGTGTGATCCTCCTCGTTAATCCACACTAGGAAATCTTTGGCGCTGTTGTGCCAAATCCCGCGGGCGTCAGGCCAGTCCCGAGCCATGCGCGAGGACAGCAAGAGAGGCGATACGGGTTTGTCAAACAAGAAATGGTCATTAATAAGTTGTTCCTGTTCTTCGTCTGTCATGGTTGCCAGGGAGTAATACGTTCCTTTGAAATGCCCATGAAGTTTTGCGAGGGCATTTGTAACGATTTTCTCTACATCGCGCCTTTCTGCTCGGCTACACCAGGGTGGTAAACACAGTCCTCGAATGCTTCGTCCAGTTCTAACACGACAGGAAAGCACATAGTCGTCATCTAGGTCGTTGCCTCCAACGAGGTTATGCGGATTAAGGTCGGTCTTGTGCTTGGCAGATTTCTTGTAGCCATTATGGCGCATTTCAATGACAGGATCAAACAAGTCAGCAAACACGCTATAAGACTCTTCATCACCTGCAACACAGCCAACTGTCATGATGAATGGATGGCCAGGATTATCTACACCGGTCTGTATTGCTTGATCCAAGCTGAATCCAGATGGAGTTCGAAGTGCGGACATCTTTTCATATGCTTCCTTTGTTAAGCACTTGGCCATCCAGTTATTGTGGTTTGAAAAGTCAGGGAAGTTTGATTCGATGATTTTCGGAGGCGCATTCGGTTTTGGGATCAGTCTTTCGATAGACTGTCCAGCTTCGAGGGCTTTTTCCATTTTCACCAACAACTTGACACCATCTACGACCTGCTGTACTTGTTCAACTTCAGACGAACCAAGTCTGTCTAGATTCGAAATATCAAATGTGCCGTCAGTTGATGCAGTGTCGACTCCCCCTGTCCCACGCTTCTGGAGTCGGAGAAGACGTAATGTTCTTTCGAAGTTCGTATTCTCGCTCAGGAGGGGAAGTTTAACATGGACACCAGCACGCAAACCTGTGCCAAGGTTTGAAGGACATGTCAAGACGTATCCAAGGTGAGGATTCCACATGAATTCGCCTCCCTTGGATTTGATAGCAGACTCGACCTTATTCAAGCCGTCACAGAAACGTGTGAATACTTGCTTCATGTTTCCTCCCTTCTGCATTGAAATGACGCGAGTGTGATCCTCCTCATTGACCCATACCAAGAAGGTCTTGTTTTCGTTATGCCAGATCCCGCGGGCGTCGGGCCAGTCCCGTGCCATACGCGCAGACAATAGGAGTGGAGAGACAGGCTTATCAAATAGGAAGTGATCCTTGATGAGCTGTTCTTGTTCTTCATCGGTCATCTTGCCCAAAGGATAATATTTTCCTACGATTAAAAGTTAATAAAAGTTAAACCATGTTCATTGGGATACTTTGATCCAACGCTGGAATTGAGCTGAGAGCTAACGGATTTGATCCTGGTAAATGGGCTAAAATATTTCGTTTTACTCAATATATCACGTTCAGTTAAACAATATAGTCTTGGTAGGAATTGCATGACAACATACATTAAACCAATCAAAGTGCACGCAATTACTCCCCGTCGCGGTCACGGTATAATGAGACGTCTTTATTTATTTTTCCCACACTCATACGAAATCCGCCATACGGTTAGTTCAAGGAATCTACTCTTATGAATTTTTGAAATAAATGTACTAAGCAAAAAGTATTAGACTCCAGACAAACCTTTGAAGTCTCCATCTAGAGAATCTAGAGCTCCAACAACGACCTTTTCCACCTCCCGTCTTTCGCCACGAGTGCAAAATGGAGGCAAGCCGAGACCTCTGATGCTTCGCCCAGTCCTTACTCTACACGACAACACGTACTTCTCGTCAAGATCGTCTCCACCAATCAGATTAGCCGCATTAAGGTCTGTTTTATGCATATCTGTTTTCTTATATCCATTATGTCGCTTCTCTATTACTGGGTCAAAAAACTCGGCAAATACTTGATACGTTTCTTCGTCACCCGCTACGCAGCCGACTGTGGTGATGAATGGGTGGCCAGGATTATCCACGCCCGTTTGGATGGCCAAGTCTAGCGTGTAACCAGAACGGGTCTTCAGTTTGTATAGTTTGTTGTATAGCTCTGGTGTGAGACATTTTGCCATCCAGTTGTTGTGCAATGAGAGATCCGGGAAGTTATCGGTCACAACAGACGAAGATCTAAAGTGAATGAAAAAGAAGTTCAAAATTCAAAATATGGCTGTACGCTGGAATAGTCATTAGAAAATTATGTTTCTTCCACGTATTTTTACGAATTTTATTAGCCAAGCTTTCGCACAACTAGTGCATCATCAGGGCAAAGGCTAGTGTGACAGTTTTTTTACGTTGACTAGAAACTACGCGTGTGTCAACGTAAAAACTGTCTCACAAGCCGTTGCCTTGATGATGCACTAAATGTGCTAAAGCTTGGCTAATAAAATTCTTAAATATACATGAAACAAACATAATTTTCTTAAGGTTCAAAGTCGTTGATCTAAGAATAACACTGCGCTGTTAAGCTTTTCAACATTGAGAACTTGAAACAATTGAATGATTGTAAAATGTAAGTTTTATTGAGAAAGGCCAGACAGCAGTGCGCAATTGATCTCTGCGCATATAGCTTATGTCTGTTCTGCCATGCTATAGAGTGAATCAGGAAACACCACTGCGCCTCTCAATCCTATTCGAGGACTGCCTCACAAACACCACGCGCATTTTCAGTAAACTAGCTAGTATCTCCCCGCAAGTTAGCGAGTATATTGCGTAAGTCTATAGTTTCCACCAGTGAGTGCGTATTTGCCGTACGCTTTTGCACTCACAAGAAAACCGCTCTATACTTCACAATTTTACAACTGGACTTACTAATTACTTTGTCTCAGCTTTTAAAGGTTGCGCGCAGTATTTTTTTATCGTTTCAACACGATTGACATGTGATGTTACTGGCAATAATGTGTTATTCTTAATAATGAAATGCGGCTTTCCAGTTTAGAAAGGACCAGAATAGGCCATGTTCGATATCAAAATTCAGACTTGATCGAGTCTTTAGTCGCATGGTAGTTTGTATGGTAAAAACACGTAGATCACCAAACACATTTATTGGTAGGAATAAGATAATGTACCATATACTACGTTCCTGCCTTTCGGCAATAATAAGGAATGGTAGAAAAGCTACTTGTGCATCCAGCAATCTTGAACAAAGCACTTGCACTGTGTGTTAGCGTCATTTACAACTACAAACGATAAATGGACACACTGTTGCACGCAACAGGTGCATGCAACAAATCTGAAGTTGAATCGCGCTCTACTTTTGCAACATTGCGCGCAACAAATTTCATCGTGTGAACAGGGCTGCAACATTGCGTGCAACATTTTGAAATTTCCAGCCAATCAGCTTGCACTGAATTCATACTGATCGCTGTCCAATTTTTTTAGCATATCAGGCTGACACAAGCGATGTTGCGTGATTTTGTTGCAACTTGTGTCATCCCGATTCAAATTTGTTGCGTGCAATGTTGCTGACCGTCTGTCTTCGCCTTAAATGTTTCAACTTACTTGACATGCACTTGTTTACTGCCCTTTTTTTCTGTGCTACCGCTTTTTGCCTGTTCTTGACTTGCTTTCTGCTCGACTTCTACAGGAAGTAACAAACAGTATCAGTATCAGTTCTGTTCCATTATTAACAGCAATTAGCTGAGCAACGGGGACTCTATTCTATTCTAGCAAGAGAATATGAACTAAGAGAAGGAATCCCTGTGCCCCATCATGTGCACACTTTGATGCTATTTTTAGAATCTATTCTAAAAATATCATCCGATGATATCATTTTTTGATCGTTTGATTTTCTGCACGCGCAAAGTACGCGCGCGCTCTACGCTGTTTCCTAACGTTTTCTGGTGCTTTTATTATGTTCAAATGTTCAAATCTGCGCAGTAAATGCGTGTGCAGAAAAACAAATGGTTTAAAAATAGCATCAAACTGTGCACATGATGGTTACAAGGCTATATAGGGGGAATTCCTTCTCTTAGTTTATTTTCTCTTGATTCTATATTAAAGTTATTAAAAAGAAGTCCTTTGAAGGCTTTTCTGTCTTTTGTTAAACTTCTGGCCTGATCTTTATCAATGTTTAGTAGTTTTTTCGATCTTTATCCATGGATCTCTGACATATTTTTTGGTTGGTTTGATGAAAAGTAATTTTATCGTCAGATTGGAGTTCGGCCGCCTACATGTGTGCGATATATTTTAAATATCGAACATATAAGAAATCCCGTAGTGGTGGAGTCCCAATTATTCTTTCAACATCAGTATTTTTGTATTTGAGTGCAAAAGTTTCTTCACCATGCATCACTATCTGTTTTTCTCTTCCAGCCATTTTTTATCATCCTTCTTAGAAGGCCGTACCAGCATGTTTCGAGTTTTTTCAGTTCTTCCTCATTCGGTAATTGTGCTTCTGAGCAATAAAGAAGTCTAGATCTAATACAGGATTCTAAGATTTTCTTTCCAGTTTTCATGGACACTTTATTGTCTGTGAGAACATTCTTTAGATCGTGTAATTTACCAGTTGCACTGATAATTCTGTTGTCAACAAAAGAATCTTTTGGGTCGCTGTAAAACATATGTCCCAGATATTTAAATTCCTTAACATTCTCAATATCGTTCCCAAAAATGTTCAGTAGACTTCCTTTGTTCATGAGTTCTAAGTCATTGAAAACTTGTGTTTTTGTTTACTTGAAGCTAATCTGTAGACCATATCTAGAACAAGTTGTGTATACAATATCCAAAATATCCTGTAAGTTAGAAAGATCCTTTGAAAAAATTGCAACATCGTCTGCATATAGTAGCCATTTAATCATTTCAGTTCCATTCATGCGCCCAGTGTTTCTTTGCCATAGCAAGCATTTGCAATTGTATATGTGCATTGAATACCCCATCCATCAGGGAAACGTTGATCGATTTCATGCGCAGATACCTTAAGTACCCAATCAAAGAACCAATGGAACACAGTTGGATTTCCTATACCACCTTGTCTGGTTCCTGCTTCAATTGGAAAGTCATCAACATCACCGCAGATTCTTCCAGTTGTTCCATCATACAGTAACCATAAGATATCAAACAACTTCTTACAACTTCTTCTGATTTTCAGTACTTCATACATTCTGTGTCTCGGAACCTTGTCAAATGCTGCTGCTAAGTCAATATACAATGCAATTATCCGTCCCTCGGTGTTCTTTAAAAATGTCGCATGATAAATACCCCATCAGTCGTAGATCTGTCCTGTCTGAAGCCAAACTGTGCTTTTGATATGTTTTCCTCGTAGCTTTCTTTTAGTCGTGTAATAATTATCTTGGATAAAATCTTTGAGATGTTTGCCCCTACAGACAGAGCACGGTAGTTACTCGCTAGTTGTTTACTTCTTTTTTTAAAGAGACAGGTTATAGAGAGTTTCAGCCAGTCAGAGGGAATCGTCATCGTTATCCAAATAGTTTGCAATAACATCCATACGGCCATGATGAGTAAATTGGAAGATACTCCGTACTTAAATGCTTCAGTTGGTACTTTATCAGTTCCAAAGCTCTTTCCATTATTGAAGCTTTTAAAAGCAGATTTTGTTTCCTCTCTGTTAGGTGGATCTGAAGTTTATATCCATTTTCTGATCGTTGAATAGTTCTGGATACCTTTCAGGGTGTACAAGTTCTTGGGGCATATCAATATCTTCTCTCTTCCTGAAGTGATCTTTAAAGTGGTAGGTTTAATTTCCGTGAGACTCTTGTTCCTTGTTGTTGAAAGCATGTTATATACTTCTTAGAAAGTGCAAATTCCCGTGTGATCTGTACCTATCGCTTTCTTCCAGTCATTTTTAGGTTTATTATAAACTCTACAGTTTTCCATTAGTTTGAGAAGTTGAGTTCCAGCTATTATGTAGTCTAAACGTCGTTTCGTACCGTCCGGTAGAATGTGAGTATTTCGATGAATACGTTTAGACTTAAAGATAGTATTGATACGTAAATTATGCTCTTGACAAAGTTATAATAATAGTCTTCCATTTTCGTTGGTATGGTTTGTAGAGGAGTTGTTTCTTCCTATTGTTGGTGTATATCCCTCGTAAATAACATTAGCGTTAACAGCGTTAAAATCTCCTAGTAGTAGTGTACTTTTTCATTTCCTTGACAACCATTGATTTTCGAAGCTCGTTATAAAAGCGTTGTTTCTTTTCAAGATTCTCAACTTCAGTTTAGTTATTCGTAAACATAAGCCATAACATTTAACATAGATTGTTAGGATTCTACCAGCCAGGTGTTCCACTGTTTTCATCACTCTCACGTTGGGACCAAGGATAAAGCCAACCCCTGCTCTATTCTTTTTTTCATATCCGAAATTTATCCATTTCCACTGTTCCTTGTTTTCACTAAACTCAATATACTCAGTACCAGTTCTCCAGCTTTCTTGCACGCCTAATATCTGTACATTATGATGTTTGCAAAGTTCTATTGCAAGTCCAAGATTTTCATGTAATATTTCAAACACGCGAGAGAGTTTTTCCTCCGATTTCCAACACCGAAAAGTGAGTTCAAAAAAACGAGGCGCAGCCGAGTTTTTTTAACTGACTTTGAGGTGTTTGGAAATCGGAGGAAGAACTCTCTCAAGTGTTTCAAATTACTTCTCAAACTCATAAATATTTCTTGGAGAAAATCAAAGAAAAAGTTTACGAAATTTATTATGCACTGGTCAATTGAAACCCCCGCCCCCCGACCCCCGCGGCTAGCGGGGCACTGAACGGGGACGTGACGCGTTTTTGATGTGCTTTTAAGAGCATGATTGCACCGGGGGTTCGAGGATTTAACGAATGGTTTTCTCAGCGGGGAATCGATCGGGGATTTTAACGCTCGTTTGAATATGTAAGGGTCTGGAAACAAGAGGTCGGCCATCTTGAAAAATACCAAGAAGGCGTTGGGATTCCAAGTACAGGCAGCCCGTAGCCTAGTACAGAGCAGTATGTTCTACACAAAACACATGCTCCCCGGGACATGCTCAAACAAACTTATAGCAGTTTCTACCTATACACTTTTACACTGAACTCCAATGATAAGAACCTTTCTAAAAATTGTAGCCTTAATAGGTTCTTATGTAGAGGGGTCTTAAAGTGAGAATTTTAGCCTAACAGGTTCTTAAAAAAACCCAGGTTCTTATACGATGGTTTTGTTCAGTCGTTTCGGTCAGTTCGAATGTAGAATCAGATCATGATTAATCTATTAAAACTACTGCTTCCCAATATTTACAAGCATTGTTCATTTTCAATTTAATACCATTAAATTCTCAGCTGACTAGACGTAAACCTAAACGTTTTCGCACGATTTGAGGTTCAGAGCCCATGAAAATATTGAGCATTGAATATATAGTGCATGGAACACACAACGATTGGCTCTGTGTAGCACAAGAATTTGGAGTTGGCGTGAAATGTGTTTCTTGTTGACCACTAAACCAAAAAACCGGGCCACAATAGCGGGGGTTTTAACAGTGAACGTGCCCCCGACTACCGGGGAAAATGTCTGATTTTAACACCACTCAAATGTTAAATTCCCCGGTATTTCGCGGGGGTCGGGGGGTGGGGGTTTCAATTGACTAGTGCATAATGCAAATAAAGAACACATTTCCAAATCACCGTCGAAGTAGTGATTTGCTTTGTTTTCTCCTCATTAAATATTGATCAGTTTTACAACCTTTTTTAATGATTGTAAATTTAGCGAAGCAATTTGTATGTGATTTACTTCAATTGGATCCAAGTTAATTACATTCTTTGTTGTCGTGGAACGTTGTTGTCGTTGTTGGCCAAGATTTCTATTTGTAGAACAGTCAAGTTCCTTCGTAGTAATCGAATTTTCTTGCAGTGTTGAGCGTTTACTAGACGCAACAGACACTGAGTTCGTCGTCTTGGCTTTATCCGTAACAGACTCATCATGTAAAATTATAGAAATTAAATTATTTTCATTCACCTTCCTGTCCAGAGAGTTATATGCAAATATCGTAGTTGGGTCGATGATGCATAAAGGTTTCAATTCTATTCTCACGAATAGATTCTCTTTCCAAAACTCTTTTTCCAGCTCTTTTTCCTCTCCCTCCATAGCTTGGGTTGTAGATAGTATCTTGACCATTGTTTCGTGAGTATAAGCTGTTATTCCAGGTCGACCAAATCCAAAGCTTGTAATATCAGGCATTCAGTCAGTTGTTAAGGTCGGCTTCAGTATAGTGGTTTATGTAGTAAAATAATCTTTAAAACATGAATCTTTTGATTCGTGAAAATAAAATAAAAGATATTTACAAAAGGAAATGTAATTTTTCAGCGCAAAAATTGGTAAAAAAAAAAAAAAAAAAAAAAATTCTTTAGAGATTAACAGAGTTCCAACGTAACAACGTGCAGTTGGAAAGCGTGTTCATTACGGTTCGTAGCACATTGATCACGTTAAGTGAATATGTTTATATAAGTTAGTGTGATGCTAAATGTATTTCTCTCGCTTGTTGGACAGCCAACATTTGTATCCAAACTTATACAAATTTACGTTACAAATCTACTTTAGAATATAGCTCTAGCCCTCGCACAGGGAACCCGGCTATATATTTTTTTCTTCTTTTAGAAAATTAACTTCGCTCTTTGTGGGTTTCCTGTGTTGTGATCAGTTTCCTTTTACATAATCTGTAATCAGATCTGCGCGCTGTAATCAGATTGGCGCTGTAAACTGATAGCCAATTAAATTCAAATCAATAACCGTTGGTAACGCACTCTCTAGTAAACACTCAAAGGAGGAGAAGGGCTGCAACAAAGCAAGYTTTATCRTATGATCATCACCTCCAGTTGCTCGGACCAGCTACTTTAGTACAACCAGCAGGAAGTCTTGATGATTTTCATGTTTCGATTGCGTCATGTTGTTCGAAAATGTTCAAAATGTAAAACCCTGTACAAGGGAATTCAAATTTTGTGTTTTATTGAGTAACATTTATTTCCAATTTTTTTAGAATAATAATATCAGATTTGCGGCACACGCTTAGAATTCGCGGTAAATATTGAACGATACCGGAAATGTCCAGAAATTATGTGGAAATTTAGATGTCTCTGTCAACAAGCTGTCAAATTCTTTTGTTTCAAATCGGACGTACACCAGATACATACTGTTCCATAAGCTAAGCGGTCCGAGCAACTGGAGGTGAACATATAACTAAAACTTAGCTTTTAAATATCACTTTCTAGGATCGTTACTTTTACGAGTTCAACAAAATAAAACATCCCGACCCAAAGTTCATTTATTGAGCAAACATTTCGTGGGTTTTTTATTAATAAATTACCTTCATGAATAATTTGAACAGGGGTTTTAAAATCGGACACTTGCTTTGTTGCAGCCCTTCTCCTCTTTTGAGTGTTTACTAGAAAGTGCGTTATACACCACAGGCAACCCGTAAGAAACAAAACACCAACGGGCTGTCAGTTTACAGCGCCGATCTGATTACAGCGCGCAGATCTGATTACAGCTTATGTAAAAGGAAACTGATCACAACACAGGAAACCCACAAAGAGCAAATTTAATTTTCTAAAAGAAGAAAAAAATATATAGCCGGGTTCCCTGTGGCCCTCGGAGCGTTACACCTTTTGCTGTTCATTAACAGAAAATGTACATTCATTTGTGCCAGTAGTTGTATCAATAACGTGTAATGTACTTTCATCAACACCACAAGTAACA